TTAATACTAGTAATACTTACATGCAGTAGCCTGTAAGGCTAGTTCTTAATAGTATTATATACTTACTATACTTTATATATAAAAAGGTATTTTTAATATTAAATTATAGTAATTCTATATTATACTTAGCAGCTAGTACTATTATAATTTAAAATATATATACTATAAGTATTACTATATAAGTTTATTTAATTATAAAGTAGTTCTATAAATTACTATATATATAAATATATACTTTATATTTATTAAAATAACTTTTTTTATTAAACTTATAAAATTAAACTTATAAGTATAAACCTACTTAAGAGGTAGCAGCTTAAACTAAATATTTAAATACTTAATTTTCTTCTAAGTGCCTTTATTATATAGTATAGTAACTTCTATAAATATTACTTTCTTTTATTAAGCTTTTAATAAGTAGTTTTATATCTTCTTCTAGAACTTAAGTACTTTAATTAAGTTAGTTAAGTAAACTTTCTTTAAATTAAGCTATTACTAAAGCTAAGCTTTATTTTCCTTATTATATATTATATTAATTACTATATATATTATTATAAAGCTTTATATAGCTTTTCTATTTATATTCTACTAATTAAGTAGAATATTCTCTAGTAGTTACTATAAATACTATATTAAATATATATTAAAATGTCTTCTATATAACGTACTTTAATCTTAGTGCTTTTTATTAGTTAGCTTTATACTATAGTATAAAGCTTTTATACTTTATAAGCTCTTTATTTTATAGTTATTAATAGTAAATACCTTTATTAAGACTTAAGCTCTTTATAGTATATCTAAGTAAGTAGCTAACTTATTTAAAGCTTAGTAAGCCTTTAGTGCTAATATACTCTACTTTTATTATATATTAATTAGTAAAATTACTTAAGTTTTATTTCTAGTTTAAGCTAGTATTTATATTTAAGAAAGTTATAACTTAATACTTAATTAAGCTTATAGTATACTAATTAGCTACTTAAGCTTACTACTAGTATTATTATTTATATTAAATATATAATTAAGTATTTAATATAAAGTAGAAAGTTCTATATATATTTCTAGCTTTACTATACTTAGCTCTTTATCTTTAGAGATTATTTAAGCTTCTACCTTTAAGGTAAAATATATATTAAGTTTTACTATAGTATTATCTTCTATAAAGAAAAGTAAGTAGTTTACTTCTTTATCTAGTTTATTATTAATTTAAAGAGCTATAAATTAAGCTTTTAATTTTATTATAAAAAGCTTAACTATACTTTCTATATATATATTATAAAAGATAGACTTATTAAATATTATATTTTTTATTATTATAACTTTATTAAAGTAAGAGATTTATATTTAGTATATATTAAAGGTAGAGTATTTAATTAAATACTTAATATAGCCTTTAAAGCTTATTTTATAGTATTATTTATTATAGCCTGCTTTATAATTTCTTTTAAGTAGATATATATAGTAGCTATATATATAAACTTTATTTTAATTAAGTCTTAAGTCTACTATATACTTTCTTATTAGTAATTAAGTATTATTATAAAACTAAGTATTTAAAGTTTACTATAGTAATTTCTAACTAGTAGTTTAATAAAAGCTTATATTATAAAGATATACTATAGCTTATATACTTTCTAACTATAAGTTTATAAATAAGTCTATACTTATAAGTATTTTAATTAAGTATAATATAATTAATTAGCTTATTTTTTTAATACTACTATTAAATTTATATATATAAAGAGAAGAGTTTTTAAGCTTAATTTTTTATATATATACTTAGTATTAAAATATAAATTTACCTACTTACTAAATTATAGTACTTTTATTATTTTATATAAACTTATATATTAATAGCTTAAATTACTATATAACTTAATGCTTATAGTAAAAAAGTATATTAAATACTATTTTCTATATTTTATTAAAAAGTAAATATACTTATATTATCTTAAAGTATTTATTCTTAAATACTAAAAGCTAATTTATACTATTATAACTAAGTAAGTAATCTTAGAAGTCTTAATATATATATTAAAATAAATATAGTAATATATATTCTTTAGAGCGCCTAGATATAATTTAGTATATAAGTACTTAAGTATAAATATTATAGTCTTTATACTTAATTCTCTTTATATATATATTTCTAGTATTTAAGTAGAGCTTCTTAAGTATAGCTTTACTAAAATAGCTAGCTTATAAATACTATAATTCAAGGTATTTTCTCTTAGCTTTAAAGAGTTCTTACTAAGCTTTTAGCGCTAAGAGCTTTATATATATATATTTTAAGTATAACTACTTATAGTAATAATAGTATAAAAGCTTAAAATTATAGTATTTTCTTAAGAGTTCTTTATATAGTTATTAAGAAGCTTATATTTAAGAAAAGTTAAGCTAAACTTTCCAACTAGCTAAGCTAGTACTATACTTTTTTCTAATAGTTTATAGTAAAATATATAATTATAACTATAAAGCTAAGCTTTCTTTTTATATAGAAAATTTACTAAAATAATATTAATATAGAAGTTCTTAATAAAAGCTATATTACTAAAAGTAAGGTTTATTATTTTAGTACTATTATTACTATATAGAATCTTTCTAAGTATATATATACTTCTTTTAATAATTAAATAGCTTATTACTTCTACCTCTATATATTTTTTTATTATTTCTCTAAATAAGCCTAGCTTAAGTAGATTAATATTATTAATAAAATATATAGTACTATAGTTATTTAATAGTATACTTAAGAAGAGTAGATATTTAGCTTATTTAAGTACTATATAAATTCTAAAGTATTATCTATATAATTAAGTAATTTAGAGATTTATAATAGTACTATTAAATTTCTTATTAAAAAAGTATAATTTTTTATTAAAGCTCTAGTTATTTTATAAGCTTAGTTTTATACTTTCTATTAATAGCTTTAAGTATAAGTTCTTTTATTTATTACTATTATAGTAGTTCTTTATTTATATAATTTCTTCTTTAGTTAAGTATATATAAAGTTTAAGACTTTAGTTTTCTATAAATATATAGTATAGTTTTTTATATTTTTAAGTGCTTTAAAGATAGAAAAAAAATAAATTCTTAAGTATATAAAAGTACTTCTTCTTCTTTATATTATTCTAAGTATTATTTTAATTATTACTACTATTACTTTAAGTACTATTATTAGTATTATTTTTATCATCTTTATAATTTAAGTATTTACTTAAAGTAGTATAAATACTTTTAGCTTTTAACTTATTATACTTATTTTAAGTAAAGTAGCTATTAAATATATTACTAAAATTCTTAAGTATATAAGTCTTTAGTATTTTAATACTTTTATTATTTCTTATTATATTAATTAAAGTTTTAGCTTAGCTAGAATTCTAGTAAAATCTAGCTACTTTAAGAAAATTATAAATAGTAATAATACTCTAAATCTTAGTAATATTTTCTATAGTAGTATAAGTAAAAGCTTTACTTTATTAAAAATACTAATTCTTAGAATTTTAATTTATATATTAAGTATCTTTAAGAACTACTTTATAAGCTTTATAAGCTTCTATATAAATACTTAAATTATTTAAAGTAAGCTATATCTTTAGTACTTTAACTAGCTACTTAAAAGTAAATTTAGAATTTATTCTCTTTAGCTTAATTATAGTTACTTAATATATACTTAGTTTAATTAAAATAGTAAACTAAGTATATATATAAATTATACTTTTATTTTTATATAGCTAGTTAATATACTAATACTTATAGTTCTTTTATATTTAATTATATACTTTAGTAACTATATAAGTTAAATTAAAGTAATAATATACTTTATAAAGAATCTTAGCTTTTACTATTATTAAGTACTTAAGCTTAAGAAAACTATTAAACTTCTACTCTAGTTAATTAAAGTCTATATAGTTTTAAATTTTCTATATTTTATAATAATTATATATTATATTATACTAATTCTTCTAATTTATAGAGAAATAAAGAAGCTTTACTAGCATTAAAATAGTACTTATTAATATAGTTAGCTTAGTAAATTAGCTTATAGTTAGCTTAAAATAAAAATAATAAGTATATAATATATATAAAGAATACTTAATATACTAGTAAAAGTTATAAAAGTTAATTAATACTTTCTGGGCTTATAACTATTATATAATAGTAGTAGTATTAAGCTAAATATTACTTAAATAATAGTTAAAAGCCTTAAATTAATTTATAAAAAAGAGAATTATATATACTCTTTAAATAAGTACGCTTAGCTTTATGCATTAAGTATATATTAACTTAATTCTATGCACATATATATCTATTAGCTCTAGGTAGGTATGCTAGGGCGCGTGGGCATGCCGTTGCCGTGCGACAGTTGTTGCACTTAGCACACCTAGCACACCTAGCACAGCTGGAGCAAGCTGCAACACGATCTCACGTGACTGGGCGAGTTCACGCTGTCAGGTGCATGCACGCTGACAATATCAAATCTCGTCAATTAAGCCGTGTCAGCTTCTGCATCTTTATTACGCCTCGTGTGTTGTAACATTTTTGCGCATTTTCAACTTTCAAGCAGTCAACATTGATATCGACACACCGAGGACGTCTCTGGTCGGCAGCAGTGTGGCGCAGGCCCACCGGAGCATTGCCAGCACGGCCACACTAAAATTAGTGGACCATAGGGGTCAACCTTTGGCCCTGCCCGGAAAGCCGTCAGAAATTATCCTCCCCTGATGGCAGGAGCCCAGAGACCGATGTCAATTTCGATACACGGTAGCTTAGTCAATGCGACGACAGCACCAACATCGAAACGTCTCCTGGAGCTCTCGCCACCCGACACCAATACTAATTACCCTGCTCGATCTTGACTCGTGTTATAGCATCGTTATGGTGTCATAGGTATTTACCGATTGAGATTTTTGCCAAGCCCTGGGTGTATTCCCGTCACATTTCTACCAACGACGGGTCCTTTCTATGGGTTCAACAACAAGCGACGGCGTAACCCAGCCCGCCGCCCCCTGGGAATCGACCCCTGAGCATGAAGCCCAGAAGCCCGAGACGGCGACGATAGACGGCCGAGATGACCTGGTAAAGACCGACGAGGTAGACAAGTCATACACAGCGCGTCGAAGTGTGGCACGGGCGTCAACGTCGGAACCTACGGACCTCGAAGACAAGGCATCTGCCCTTGCAGCCAAAGCTCTCTCGTTTATATCCGAAGCGACGCCGGCGACTCTAGGTGGTGTTGCAATCGCAGCCTCCGCCATAATATATGCCATTCTGGGTCGAATTGGGCTCTTGTTGATCGGTGCAATCGCCGGTGTGCTAGTGTTCATCTCGCTAGAAAACAAGTACCCAGATGTTATTGCGCAGGCCGTGCGGGGAGAAAAGGGACCAGAAGTCCTCGATCGGGTCTGGCTCGACTTGAAGCAATGCAGAAGAGATGATTGCACCCAAGAAGGCGACGAAGAAGAAACTGCTTTCAGGTCCTTTGACGATTTCCGACCAGAAACACGAGATGCGCTAGGTGGGCTTGTGGACGCCATCATTCGGGACTACGTCAAGTGGTGGTATAGTCCAATTATACCAGGCGACCACTCATTCCCTCTGTCATGTCGAAAGACGCTGAACTCGTATCTGCTGTCCGTATCCAATCGAATATGCAAGAAACGACCCGCAGATGCTTTCCTGGACCTACTTACGAACAGCTCCTCCATCGTCATCGCGCTGTTATCGGAGCTTGCGGCTGCCTTCGCGGACGTACCTCCTGAAACGAACATGACCGCCGCTGATGCAGTGTACAACTATTTAGCATCTCACTCGGATTCTCGACTTGCCAACCTTCTGAATCAGAAACAGCAAGCAACCAAGTTTAGGATGGTAGCTGAGGATCTCTTGGGATTTCTGGATCAAGGCTCTCAAAACTGCGATCCAGCCCGGATTTTCCTACGGGAAGTCCTTGCAAATTCTGTGCTTGAAACAACACTGCAGACTTGTAGCAAGGCAGAGTGGATTAATGGATGGATCGTGTATCTCCTTGAGGCTGGCGAGCCCGACATTAATCATGCCATCGACGTCGGAATGCAAACAGGCCGCGACAACGGGACGAATGTATTTGCAGACATGGACGGAAATGTAGGCAACGTTGGCATTGCAAAACCCGTAGCGGCCCGCCCAAGCTTGGAAATGGACCGGTCGCGTCGGAAAGAATCACTCGGCCATAAGAAAAAGCTGAGCAGAGCCGATGAAGAGTTGGAAGGAGCCATGGAAGGAGTGCAGCGGATGAATGCAATCATGTCCCGACGAGATGAACGACAACAGCGGGACGATGCCAGTCTGGACATGACAGATAAACCCAGTCACAGTGTGGAGTGGAGATCAGAAAATCAGAGGTCGCCGGGGAAGCCTGAAGAGCCGGTATCGAGGGCGTCGGGCGAAAAGTCGTCTCCCAGAGGCACTTCGACGGACTCCACCAAGAGTGAGGCACAGAACACGCCTGTTACGCCCAGATCTGGCATTGAGTCGGCAAGCCAACAGTCGTCACCGCAACGATCCAGTGAGCAGCCGTTTACATCGTTTGACCAGATTATTCCGCCGGGTCAATCGGAGGACAATGAAGAAGATGGTCCCAGAAAGGCCCCTCTTTCGCTTCACAATGCCTCCTTCACACTACACGACGACGCCACAGGTGACGGCAGCAAGATCCGCAGCAAACCTAGCTGGGACTATTTAATTCAAGTCGAGCCGTCGTCGTCGACACATACCGGGTGGATGATCGTTCGACGCTACTCAGATTTCCAAACTTTACATGAAATTCTGAGGAGAATCGCCACTATATCGGGGGCCACTGCGTTTACGGAGCTCCACAAAGAGTTGCCAAGTTGGAAGATGCACACCAGAGAGTCTCTGCGAGGCGAGCTTGAGAGGTACTTGAGGGACGGGTGCTGGTATCAATCACTAGCTGAGAGTGAAGGGATGAAGCGCTTCCTGGAGAAGTCCCAGGGCCATACACACGGCAATCCCAAGTCTTTTGGCTGGGAGACTGTCGGCAAGAACATGCTTGACGTTCTCAACATTGCGCCCAAGGGCGCTGTGGAAGGAGGCAAGACGCTGGTTGGCGGTGTCAGCGGAGTGTTTGGCAATATTGCTGGCTTGACTAGAAAATCGACCAGCCAGTCGGTTGACCTGACTCAGTCTGTTAATCGGCTGTCAATATCTACGCCGCCTCGAGCGGACCCTGCAAGATCTCCAGCGAGATCAGACAGAGGTAGCCTGGACAGCCAACGCTCTTCAGTCATCTCTACCCAGCCCGGAAAGATGGCGCCAATGTCGAGACGGCCCAGTTACCAGTCTGTAGGCGAAATCGACGCCGAGACGGGGAGGACAGGTCGCCCTGCTGAGAGAAACGAGGTCGGACCAGGTCTCGGAAGCGGACGACCCAGCTTGGAGCATAGCAGGGCGTCTAGCTTGGCAGCACTTCGGTCACCTTCAACCGCAAGTCTTGATTTGGCGAAGCTTCCTCCGCCGCCAGACGAGATGACGAGTGATTACGAATCGTCGCTGAATGGCGAAGAAACGCAAACAAGACAAGGCGATGGTGCGAGCACGCACCAAACCATTCGTGGACTGCCGACCAGCTCTAGCGCGCCATCCTTGTCGACGCTCGGTGGCGGTGGTGGGAGGAGGACGGCGACGAAACCTGCCAAACAGTACTCGCACATGTCGGAACAAGAAACGAGGGTGGCCGTCGAGCTCCTGTTCGCCGTGATCAACGAGATGTACACTCTCTCGTCTGCGTGGAACATTCGCCGCACGCTTCTGACGGCAGCCAAGTCCTTCCTGCTGAGGCCGGGGAACCCATCGCTGCTCACCGTGCAGTCTCTGATCCAGTCCTCTGTGCTTGACGCGAACACCTCGGACGCCGGCATCGCAGCCCAGCTGCGTAAGCTTCGGGAGAACACGCTGCCAACCGAACAGGAGAGGGCCGCCTGGCCGGAGGAAATGACGGCCGATGAAAAGGAGAGGCTGGCAATCAAGGCGCGCCGGCTTCTCATCCAGAGCGGGGTCCCGGCAGCGTTGATGGGTGTCATGGGACAAGCGGCCACGGGCGAGGCCCTCGGCAGGGTGTTTGACTGCCTGCAGATAGAGGAGGTGGCGAGAGGCTTGATCTTCGGGCTCATGCTGCAGGCTGTGAGGATCTTGACGCACTGACGGCCTCGGCGTCGCACAAGAAAGAAGGCGAGGGGAGGGGAGGCGGCGAAACCAACAACGACGACGGCCCAGAGGGAAGCCGTTGGAGAGGCGAAATACAACAAGCTGATACAAGGGGAACGTTTGGCCCGCTGCAGAGGAGCTGTCACTGTTTTGAACTTGTACCATTGCGTGGCGTATCAGGACCGGGGAGGGGATCGTTTTTGCCGGCTCGGTCTTCTGTTTCCCTTTTACAGCGGCAAAAGCGTGCCATGACAGGCACAGCGTAACGTAACCAACGACCAGACGGCAGGCACTGGCTGTACATACATGTATGTCGTAATAAAGGAGCCGCGAAATGGCGCTGGGTGCCGTTTCGTGGTTGCATAGCCGAAGATGCCCTTTGGATGCCTGCGCCTCGCGCACGCAGTCTGCTTCGAGACAATGCAGACGACGCGAGTGTCACCCACCACGCGTCGCCTCGGAAAGCGTACCGAGATGCGCAGCGCATCTCAAGTCCGATTCGCGGGATGGCCGTGGCCCGAGACTCCCGAGACTCCCGAGACTCGAGCGGAGACATGGGAGCGGCATGGTAAAACGAGTGCCATGTGGCTCAGGAAGTTGGAACAGACAGACCCAGGTGACAGGGCGACGCACTGCAACGTGAGCGGTTCGTGTCCGCGGCGGCACGCGGCGGGATTGTCACGACTCACGGAGAACCAGCCGCGGCGATGGAGCGGTGGACCGTCCTGCGCACCAGCGTCCGGGGACGATCACGGAGGCATGTGGTGGTGTAGCATGGACGCCTTGGGTCCCGAGTCCTGAGTCCCGAGTCCTGACAAGGCATGTCAACGCAGATAGATGCTTGTGCACCGGGGATCCAGCCGCATGCATGTTGAGTTGCCGTCTTTCCATCCTCCTGGTTTCACATTCACGATATCGACGGCCCGCGCTGGCTACCGACGCGTCATGAGGCCTGTGACGTGATGCTTCTCGGGTCTCCGGAATGGATGTTCGGCACCAGCCTTGGTTGCTTTGACTCCTTGTCCTCCCGTTGAACGCGGCATCGTCGACAGGGTGCGCCCTGGGGGAGTGGGCCATGATGCATCATGCCCCTGACTGTCTTGTTGTTGTCGCACATGTGGGCTATTCCTACAATCCACAGTCATGATCAATTGACGTGGGCGGCACGTACCGAGTAACTACATAGCTGCTCTGGCTGTGGATACGCAAGTCACGACGCAGATGCGGTACAGGGCAGTCACGCGACTGCAATCACGTTTGCGGATCAAAGCGTGGTAGGAGATTGTATTCGTCGGCGACTCAAGAGACGTTACAAATCTTCGCTGCAAGTGCCTGATCAGCGCTGTGAGTCCTTGCAGCTTGTTGGCCTCCCCCGGCATGGCTTGCTGATATACGAGCAATTTCGTACAAATTATCTGCGCCGCTTCACACCCCCCCCAGGCAGCTCTCGGTAGGGAAGAATATATTAGAATAATATGCAACTAAACTAGGAACCATTGTCAGGCGTGAGTTAATAGTGTTCGTAATGGGAAATAGACTTGGTGGCCAAGTGGTACAGTGGTACGTCTTAAGAGGCCACATTGAATATGCCAAAGCGTGCCTGCCTTGGCACGTGTTGCATCTCGTTTGTTTGATGCGTTTCACGGAATAAAACGTCACACTCATGTTTCGTAGTGCGTCAAGGCTTGAAAACAGCGGCAGTGAGGATCGTATCCGCTTCTTCGGCAGTGCCTTTGGCCTGTAATGAGGTGGGGCTAGGCGTGTTATTCTTGCTGTCCACACTGAGAGCGGCGACAGAAGACTGAAGATTGCCCAGTGGTATTGGCTGGATTAAAGAGAAAGGGGTCGATGCCCCAGCAGGCGGCATGTTGGCGGCGTTCGGTGCGAGACTTGCTGCCGTGGCAGATGCAACTCCAGCAGGAAGGTCGGGATTAGGGGAGTCGACACAGCCGGGCAGTTGCTCACAGCTTCCTTTTCTCCGCATCTGAATAGTACCAGGACTTGTGGCCTCGAATGTGCCCGCACCCAGCTTGGTGATTTCTTCCTGAACGTCGGCAAGAAGTGCGTAGATATCATCGCCGGCATATATGCGGATACTCTCGACATCAGACCGCCTCAACGTGTCTGCGCTTTCGGCGCAGCTGATGTCACACGAATTCTTGGTAGCATCTTCAACAACAGGTTGCTCGACTGTTGTGCTTGGTGCTTGAGCAACCGCCCTTTGGGGGGACGGCGGAGAACTGCCCGCTCGGCTGGCGAAGCTTGCTTTTGATGGGCTTCTGGGCGGCGTAGATAGCTCACGTGGGCCACCGGCAGATTCCCCCTGCTGGGCTGCTGATTCTGAAGGCGAGTTCGCAACGGGAAGCAGGGCTGCGGCTGCAACATGCTCCAGTAGCTTCTGGCGAACTCTTGTGCGGCGATTTTCCGCCTGTTCCAACTTTATGACCCAGTCGTCAATGGAGCCGTCCAATTCTGCTAGCGCCTCCTCGTGTTTGAGCATGGAGTCATGGCTGAAATTGGCCACTCTCGGAGACCGCAGGTACTGACAGATGCGTGAGTGAAGGTTGCGACGTCCGGCACGTAGTGAAGTGTATGTTCGCCGCAGATAATCGGTCCTATCGTCGAGATATCGAAGTTCCTTTGACAGCGCATCGACATCTTCCACGTGGAGAACTTTGAATCTTTCGACTTGCCTCAGTGCCTGCTTCTGAAGAGCGACAACATCGTTAAAACTGAGTTTGTTGACAGCATCCGAAGGCTTCCACCCCTGGGGCAGCTCCTCGAAGGCTCGTCTTTCGCAGGTCAATGCCCTGCTCGCGTGGTTGGACTTGAGCGGCGGCCCGTTATTGCCGCGAACCTCGGCCTGCTTTCTCGGCCTATCCCGATCTATCATCGTCGTCATTGAAGACTCTGAACCTCTGCGGCGATGTTGATGAACGTCAAATTTTCTTTGTCCATCCTGGCCATACACGCTTCGGTCACTTTGAGATGAGAAAGTACTTAATCCGTCCCAAGGCTTCGAGGGGGTGCGGTGGGACTCCATGATAGGAACAGATTTCGGTGTGGGAAGCGTAACAGTAGATGAGCTGTCACTCGTGGCAGATTTCGGGTGCGACAGGTCGGGGGTAGATATGCTCGGAGAAGAACGCGGTTGGCCAAGGGGAGAGCGGTCCAAGGGAGCACTTCGAGAAGATGTTGGAGGTGTGCTATCCGACTTTAGTTTATTGCTCGAGACTTTGGATCGCAAGAGAGGCGCCACCAGCTCGATGGTGGGAGTAAATAGCGGCGCCAACCGCCGGGGGAGAGATTGGGACAAGAGAGTTTGTGTTCCAAGCGGTGGGAGGCCTTCATTATCAGATTTGGAGGGGCTGTCCTCAACGGGCAGAGATGCATCTGTGGTGCACAGTGGTGCTCGCTGTCTCTCGCCGCACGCCTCCTCTGGGGCACTCGAAGAACGCTCGTGTAAAGGTGGTCGCCCAGGTATCGTGGCTGGTGCAAAAGTTAGCGGCTACGGACAAACCGGCTGCATCCTAGAGAGTTGATACTGACGAGAGTCCATTGCGATTTCTTGGACGGTAGTCATGGGCTCTACCTCGGGCACACTGACTTTACGTCGCCTGACAGAATTACTCTCGTTGAGCCGAAGCCGCAAGGCTGAACCCGCAGGTGCTTTGTCGCTTCTTTCACCCATTGGCACCGGGAATGCCTCCTCCGGATCCAAAGACTTGCTGATATTCAAGGTCGGAGCCGGTTTGTCTTTCGGGAATAGTTGATACTTGCGCTGCTCCGGAGGTAGCATCCTCCAAGCGAAAGGCTTATCCATTGATGGGGTACACGGTGTTGTCTAGGCCGGTGTTGGTGTAAGCTTGAACCTTACACCTATGCGCTTGAGCAAGAGAAGATGCTGCAAATTTTGACTCACAGATAGCATGGATAGCGCCGGAGAAGGCAAGTTTGACACCGAGCCTGGCTCCGTGTTGGCGATGCATGTTGCGATATGAGCCATCGAAGTCACTAGGACTAGCACCCAATTTCACGGTGATCCCACCGGTAATTGGAGCTTTGCAGAAGGGCAGGCCTCACCAAGGCTATGAAAAGCCTAAACACGAATGTCAACAAGAATGGCTCGGGAAGTTTCTCATTGTTCAGCCAAACGGGATGACGACGTTGAGAGCCGGCGCGGACGGTATGTATATAAAACTCTGCGGAACGGCCTGGTTCCAGCCTTGAGCCGCACACCCTTTGTCCATCACTTTATTAGACTTGGCTAGGTCGAAGGCAGGAGGATCCCTGGTGTATCGTGGTGTCCACCACCGGGATGGAATGGGGAACCGTGCCCCTGGTCAAAGTTCAAGAGAGACCCTTGGGTGTCAAAAGTCATTTTCAGCCATGCACAGGCCAGAAATCTGAGACGAAGGCTGCCTTGGTAAGGATGGTAGGGTCGCAGGTGGTAGGTGGGGCGGGCAGGAAGTGTTGCAGGCCGAGGATGGAGGAGGACTTTGCTAGACGGCGCTGTCAGTCTTATTAGTCGGTATGAATGCAGAGCACGCCAGTTTGCCCTGGTGGACTGAGCACCATGCCCCCAATTGTTGCGGCTTAGCTGACAGGGAATGGAATAGTATGATAGTATGAACTGACCTGGAGTAGTTGCAGAGTCACATACTCCGTAAATGGTGTTGAAACCAGGTGCAAGACGTCACACAAGGTCTGCCATGGCCCGTTGTGAGAAGAGGCCAGAGGGACAAGGCTCGAGCAAACAAGGGTGAAAGAAGGGTTGTAACGCCATTCTGAGCTGTGTAGCTACTCCAGACGCCGCGGATGAGGAGTCAAACATCCTCGGGCCCCTGGCGGCCCGTGTATCCTTTGGAGGATGTGCCGAGGGGCCCGCAGCGGTTATAGATTATCATCGCAATGGTGCCGGTGGTGGTGCTGGTGGTGGTGGGAGGAGGAGGACCAAGGACCGAAGCATCCGAGTCTCCACGTCCCGTCCCCACTCGGGCGGTCAGAGTTGCAACAGGAACCAATTCTCATCTCCCCAGAGCCAAACTTGTTCACACTGCTCTTTTTGACAGGCAGCTTGGCCGGCCATACGCTGCGACTGGACGGCGAGGACAAGGCAAAGGCGTCAGCCACAACCACATGGCATGTCCGGCTCGACGCCATGTGTTTAGTAGTGATTCGATTTATCCGTTGGCTTCGCAGGGCATGCTCCTGCTATTGACCTGGGCCTGTTCCAGGATACGCGTCTCAACTCGGTGCCACTCCCCTGTCCCGCCCTCATGGTCGCGTTGAAGCATCGGAGTCGTGAAATCGTCCGGTTGTGGTTGTGGGCTTGACCGCTCTCCTACCTTCACAAGGCTCGGCCCATAGCCATAGGCACGGAGTCAAGGTTGAAATGATGACAATGACGGGTTGAACCACGACCACGCCATGATAGTGCCAACCGCGGAGGCAGAGAGTTCAGGTCAATTTGCCATCCTGCTGCCTTTGTGGCATGGGAGGCTAGAACAAGCCTTACCTGAGGATAGATGCGATATAATCGGCGTCTGAGCACCATGGCAACAACCGTCAGGATCATCAGTGCGTGGCGGTGGTAAATTGCTGATGGCTCAACAGGGCCAGTTGCTCATGCGTTATCGCGCGGACGCTGAGGCGAAGAGTCGACCTAGACGGTGTTCGGCTCGCGCTCTCGATAACTTCCTACAACGAATCATGACCCCATGTCCATGTCTTCCCTAGATTTCATGGTTTTCGAAAGGAGGGAAAAGAGAGGGGACAAGATGCAACACGCGGGAATGTCATCATCACTCCGCCAATCAACTCGGACATGTCTCGATCAACGCGCTCGAGTACCGCGCGCGATGCGTGTTTTGGCGCCAAATCCTCTCAGTACCAACGGCTCAAAAACATCCTCTGGAAGTGCGCATTCACCCTTGTGCTGCATGTGATGGGTGGGTTTCGAGTAAGGAGTACCGTGTTGGATCAAAGCACCAGAGCTAATGTGACGCTACCGGAAGTTTTGTCTGGGTTTGCGACGAAAAGCCACCAGGGGCATCTTTCTGTCTGTAATAAAACTCCAACGGTTTTTACCACTGTCAATGTTGACCCCTACCAAACATGATTCGAGTTTTGGGCCGCCATGTGGGTTGGGTGCATGAGCAATCAATGCGCGCATGAACTGCTTGTCCATGGCTGGTGCCGAGGGAAACAATTACATCCACCGAGAGTTCACAGCCTTCGCACGAGTGCTGTTTGAAACAAAAATCTCATGATTTCCGTGGCAGCATGGAGCGTAAATGAAGTTGGTGCCGACCTAGGAGTCATGTAAATGCCGGCTGAAAACCGTCGATGCCGAGGCGCGGGGTAAAAACCCCGTGCAGGCACAATTAAATTGTTTCACAGGCCGGGTACCGACTCCGTCTACACCTCTGCTAGACTTGGCTTCCAAGTCGGATGAGGGTTCGAACGAGGATGATGAAGCCTCCTCTGCGCGCCACGTGAAGTTTCTGGGCTTGTCCTCAGCGCCATGAGCGGACATGGTCGTCGCCAAACAACACCAACCGAAGAATGAACATGTGCAGCGCCCTTTTCATCGCTCACCTGAAATCATTGAGCTGCCTGGCGTCTATCATGTCGCAAGAGCCGCACGGCGGATGAAATGCCATCCTATAGGATGTCTGGGATACGGCCTCGCCAACTCGATAGAAACCTAGAGGCGGAAGAGGAAGCGGTGGCTTCTAAGTTAAGGTGTGGTGTTCTCTCACCGGAGGTAGCTAATTGAATGAAACAAGCTCTCTCACCAGGCGATGGCATAGAAGACAGAGCGCAGACCTGGACTGACTGTAACTGGACACGAGCTTGCAAAATCGTCACCCCGAGGCCCCTCGATAATTTCCACATGTGCAATTTGGTTGGCGCCTTGGCGCCTTGATGCCTTGGTGCCTGGGTGCCCGCCGCCGCCGGCTGCATACTCTGATCGGATATCGCATTTGAATCACGGAGGCGCTCTCTCAGCCTTCCATACGAGATTTCCATCATCGTTCAAACTATTCGGCTGACATAGCTATAACAGCCTTGAGTTTTCTCCGTCAATCGCTGCCTGCACCACAGACCGCCAACCAGCATCGTCATCATCCATCCTTATTACGGGGACAGCGGCCTTGGGGTAGTCGGATTAACTCGCCTCTGGGGCTGCGGATCCAGCAATCACGTCCAAGTGATCGCGAATTTAGTCCAACGTCCCGTCCGTGTGTCCGTCCGTGTGTCCGTGCCGGTGTCGATGCAGAGCATACTAGCTTGGTGAGTGACAGCATCACAGGCTTGCTTTCAGCTCCCAACTACGCCATGTCAACTAGTCGTACTAACGAACCTCAGGGCCCATGCACGCAAACGAGCTCCCGCGCGGTCAAACGGCAATATGTCGGTTGAGACACCATCGTGGCCTGACTTTTCGATCAACATGGCTGTGACGCTGACCCAACCTGTCAGTCAATCAAGGTTTCCACTGTGGCTGCAATCTACTCCCTACTTACAGAATTCCATGGCTACACCACGTGTCGAGGCTGCTTTTCGCCTTCAGCTCCGTATGTTTGGCTTATGGGCTTGTGGCGTGTTTGCAACTTGCAGAACACGGGGGCGACTCTTACCAGCATGTCCGTTTCCAATGCTGCTTTAGCTTTCAACTGCCCTCGGCGAGCAGCGTGGGCTGCCAAGGACAAAGTCATGATTTGTCTCTGATAACAGGAAGAACTTGTCCATATCCAACGCGCTCCAAGTATCAGCGACACAATCACGGTTGCTGATCACGACTTGACACCTAGGACCGTGCTCAGCAACGGGCCAATTGACAAGTTGTGATCGCCAGATGCGGCTCAGCAATGGCCTGATTAACTCAGCTCCGGCTGTCCACAGCGGCCAACCGAAGCAAGGGGGCGGCAGAAAACATCACACACACAGCTCATGGAAATACGTGTGTGCATGTCCGGTGTTTTCTACTACCTGCTTGCCAAGGGGCTGCTCTGCTTATGAGCGTGCGTCACACCCGGCTTCGCTGAAAAACTACCTTGCTTGCTTGGCAAGTTGCAGAGAACACAAGACGTCATTTCTCATGTCAGTAACTGGATGTTGTGCTGTGTAGATCTAACAGTGTTGGTTACCAATGACCAAGTTAGCTCTCTACACAATCCCGATGGGCAAGTCGCAACAACGTTGAAGCACGATACCAATGCTGGGTGACTGTTTCACAACCAAGATGTCCCTGCATACTAAAAAAAATGCAAATTTGGACTTTCCTAGATCCTACAGTCTCTGGCTCTGACGAGTCCCATCCCTCCAGTGCAATGCGATCCGCTGACCACAGGCTTTTAAAACAAAGTCAAGGGAGAAGAGCATAATTTTGCCATGGCTAGCGCTTGGCGCTTTTATTTGCCTGACCCGTCCAAAATTGTAACCATCATGCATGCGCTGAATCCCCTGAGCTAGGCAAGAGACATATAGCAACGGGCTGTCAGATATTGCAACTACCAACGGGGAGACGATTCTGATCTTTCAGCTACGTGCCCATCAGAGAGCGAACGAATGGCAAACTACGCATCGTGAGATAGCTTGTGCGGAATGACTGTGAATTCTTCTAACGGTCGCCGCCATCTATCTTCGTCCATGGCAGTGGCGCTCGGTGTGGACAGAGTGATTTGTTGTTCCCTGATGCAGATGGATAGTGACTTGGTCAGCGTCCGATCTCGAAACTTGTGCGCATCTTAGTAGCAGCGAACTAGTGCATGGCCTGAAGCGTTGTCACCGGTAAATCTCTCGCAGCGCGGTACT